TCCAAGGAGGAGCTGAATCTCCATGCCTGGTGTTGTTTCCAAACTCACAAATTAGGGAAGAAAAGGAACCAGTGGTAGGTGGGACCAGCAGCATTCCCACAATACTGCTGCCTCCTTCGAAGTGGAGGGGGCAGACTGAACCATCACTACACTTTCACAAGGTCTTTCTTCTGCTGGACCTACATCATCTTTCCCAACACTTCTACCTCCGAAATGCCAGCTCATCCTCTAATTCCAAACTGATTTGTCTCCTTTCATGATCCACTTTCCAATCCTTGTTTTTCCACAACATTGTGCTCAGCTAAAGGGAAGCACAGCACATCAGATTGTTAGAACTCACGTTATATACCTATTTCTTCTCCTGTCTCCCATGCACAGGTTAAACAGCTTTTGAGGGTGGAAACTTGGTTTTATCTCTACATTCCAGCCCTTTTATCATACCTGATGCTTAGTTGTTGTTGTTACATGCTGTGGAGTCAGTTCCGATTCATAGCAACCCTGTATAGGGTTTCCAAGGAGCAGCTTGTGAATTTGAACTGCTAGCCTTGTGATTAGTAGTCTAGTGCTTATCTTACAACACCACACCAGGACTCCATAAGACAGATGCTGAAGAGGTACTCAAATATTTACCCAACTTATAATGCTGAGACCCACTTCCTAGTCTTCCAGTTTTCTAGATGAGGAGCATGGAATTTTGAGAGGTTGCACGCCTCAGTGAGTAGTAAAAAGACTAGATGTGTGTGCTCATTAAAAACTGATTATGTTATTAGTATTTTCATTAGTATGTCTATAGCTACTGTTATCCGTCAGGCTCATGCCAGTCATGTGAGGTACATGGCATTATCCCGTTTTCACACTGAGGCTAATTGTCCAGCGCTACAGAACTGGGGAGAGGCAGAGCTGCCTTGAAACTTAGGTCTTTTCTTCCTGCAACCCCTTTGTCAGGGTCACTGGACTAGGGCAGAGCTGGGACTACACGCCAATCTTCTAACTCACCCACTGACCCAAAGAGACTAGAATTTTATTTCCTTTCATTTCCTGCTTTATGGTAATGCAGTAATCATTTAATCATTGTTGTTGTTGTTATGTGCTATCAAGTTGGTTCCAACTTATAGTGATGCTATATAGGGTTTCCAAGGAGCAGCTAGTGGGTTTGAACTGCTGATCTTGTGGTTAATAATCCAGTACTTATCCAACAACTCCACACCAGGACTCCACATCAGGATTTCATTTAATGTTGCTGCTGTCGTTAAGTGCCGTCGAGTCGGTTCCGACCCACAGAGCCCCTGTATAAGGTTTCCAAGCAGCAGCTGGTGAGCTTGAACCACTGATCTTGCAGTTCAAACGGCTTTGCAGTCTGATGCATTAGTCCACAGCGCCATGCCAGGACTCCCATTTAATAGCGCTTATTAAAACAGGGCATCCTTACTGTGGATAGATATGCCTTTCTGGGTTGATATTTCCCTGGTAATGAGATTGTTTAAACTCAGGATGATAGTCTCACCTAGGACACCAACTACTTACAAACCACAGTTGGAAGAAAACTCAGAAAGTTCACCTGCTCAGTCAAAAATACGTTAGAATTTCTTCCAGGGAACTTAATTGTCGTAGGAGTTTAATGTTCATCTGAAAAGAACACCCCCAGGAGAATACTTTGGTTATTTCCTTTAACATTTGGTTCTTAGGGTGTTAAAGCCAGTTAAGGAAATTGGGGTGCAGGTTTCTCTTCATTGTTTCTGTGTCACAAGAAGTGAGACTTCACTTTTTTGGGGGTGGTTTGTTTGGCTGGAAAAGAGGACATGAGTAACCTGTCTTAAAAGGGCCAGGATGAAGTGGAGTGTGCTCTGTCACACCTCTTTAAGAGAAAAGAAGATTCATATGTGCTTCCTTAATTCAACATATTTAACTAGTACATTCATCACATAAGACTTCTACCCAAATGACTAGCCACACTTCTGTAATTATATGAGAAAAAGAGAATGAACTATTTGTAGTGTATTTCCATCATGTGGCTCCTGGCAGCACTCTGGCTGTATCCTTGATACTGTGTGTATCATCCTTTGAGCATTCGACTTTCCCTAGGCTCTAATTTCTAACAGAAATTCCTGGAGAGTAAACTGGCAGCTACAACGGAAAGAGGATGGAGGTTCCAGCCTCAGAAGAAAGACCTGGAGATCTACTTCTGAAAAGCCAACCATTGAAAATCCTAGGGACCATCATTCCACTCTTGACACCTGTGATTGCCCTAAGTCTGAGTCAATTCAAGAGCAGTTGGTTTCAGTGTACAGCCAGGATGTCCTCAGAGGCCTAACAAGTGGCGGGAAAGTGAATGGGGATGTCACTGAGGCGCCATCTAATACCATCAGGCATTGGAAGTTACCTGAAGGTGGGGCACAGGCATGTCTGCTAAACAGTAAGAAAGATATGTTATATTGAAACCCAGTACACAAATGGGTCACAATCTGAAGTGTGAGATGAAGTGCTACATGGGGACTTCACAAATTTTGTGGAAAAATCCCATTAGCTCACCATTCCATTTTTCCATGAACTTTCTGAAGTCCGCTTGTACGTGTACACGCTGTAGAGTTAGACATGAAATCAAACTTGTGGCTCCATTTGAGCCTCCCCTCAAGTTTTTACAAACCCGCCTACCCCATCACACATTTCAAGCTCTTATCTAAAATTTGTCTCCCAAAATTCAAATACTCTCAAAGACAGCAACTTCCAGTGTGTCATACACATGCTTTAAGTGTATTTTTGTCAAAATCTTGCTGCCACAGATTTAGCTCATTCACATTTGTAGAAACTATCCATTATATAACCTAATTTCCAAAGCCATTCTTCACTGTCTTCACCCATCAAGATAATCAGACTTAACTTCCTGTCAGAAAAGAAGTCAGTCTTCATTTTGCAATTCAAATCAACGTAATACACCATTCTCCCAGCCTTGACAGCCATTGCACTTGTGAATTTTAATTCTAAGAGACAGAGATGGATGAGTAAGAGAGAGAGGCAAATGCCTTGCCAGGAGTCTGAGTCTGGTTGCAATAAGGCGCGGCTCCCAAGAGACCACCCCTCCTTCCAGTGGGAGGCTTTTCCCACAATGTCCCTTGACTTCGAGACTGAGTGTTCTGTGCCCCACAGCACAGTGCTATCAATGGTTTGAGGTGAGTAAGAAGTAAAGTGAGAGAAAAAAAAAAAAAACAATTGGGAAAGGGAAACTAGCAGCCCTCAGACCTCTGACTCTTTCTCAGCTAGGTAAGTTATGAGAAGAAGTACATGTGGAAACTGAAAATCTGAAAACTAAGTGTCCATAGTTATCCCTTGAGCCCCCTTGTAAAGCTTACAAGTACCCCCAATACTGAAACTATTATCTTAAGCATTCGGTATCCTCATCTGTAAAATGCAAATACTAATAGTACCTGTCTTCAAAGATGGCAATAAAGAATAAATAAGGTGAGAGCACTTAATGAAATCCTGGTGCATAAAGGAGTACTGTTGTGGTGCCGTAGGATAAGCACTGGACTTCTAACCACGAGGCTGGTGGATCAAACCCACTAGATGCTCCTTGGAAACCCTACAGAGGCTCTATATGAATTGAAACCAACTCAGTGGCACTTAACAACAACATGGTGCACAAAAAGCACCCACTGTATGTTCAGGGGAGTCCTGGTGTGGCA